TAGTTGTACTCCATTCTTTAAAGTGTTTGATAGATCCCTTCCTTTCCTTCCTTTCCCTTCCTTCTAATAGCAATTTTGGAATCTGTATCGGTCTACTTCGGAAATAAATCCGATGAATATGCCAGGAAAACATGCGAGCATGGAAATAGGGAAATCAGTGCGAAACCAGCGCGGATTAGGTCCTCTCGTATAATTCATTACATTTTTCATTTATATATATATATATTATTTATTATTAATTTTTATAGGTTCCTTTGTCTTGTTTATCGCTTCTCTTAGGATAAAGTTAAAATTAAGCTAACTCTAATATTAAAAATTCCAAACTACCAGGCTAATACCATTTTCGTATAATATTTAAATCTTAAAAAGGTATATTGAAATAGGAAATAGATTTTAGTGAGAAATTTGTTGGTTTCCTGTCCTTTTTGTGGCAATCACCTATTGTGATGCTAAAAATGTTTCTATATTTGGCTCAGTTTTTCTCAGCATCAGCCTTAAGTCTACGCGCTGAACTATTTGCAGTTTCTCATTCCTCTTTTTCGTCGGCAGATTTACAATTGCATTAAATCGACGTTCTGATAAATATGAGGAGAGAGAAATGGAATAAAAAGTTTTTTTTGCTATAGCGCGAGTGATAAAATTGATGGAAATTGATTTGTTTTGGCATTTAGAAGTTGTGATATTCGCTTTTCGCAAATTTCGCTTTTTTTAAACTATCCATAATTCGATTAATTCTTCTTGTAATGATGATTTAAAAATGGATCCAATTTTCATTTATCGGAATGCTTTATAAAAATCATCGTGGAATGCCTCCAAGTGTTGGCAATAAAGAAATCGGCTCTTCGGTGCATTTTGCTCCTGAGGAATAATTTGAAGATTGATAAATTTCTTTATGACCTAGGCTGGGCTGTATTTATAAAAAAAAAGAAATTTAAATTTGCCATACAATTCTATCAAATAAACTTCTAAAATTACTGTCATTCTAAAATTATTCTGCAATAAACCATTTTTTGTCATTAAAAAACCACAAAGCAATTGAGCTAAAGGTTTCATAAAATCGGCAGACATATACTTTTAATATCCTTCTATAAAAACCATTGCAAAAATGTCCAAATAATCTGTCATTACGAGCTTTACTAACTGCTATAATTACTACAGTAAAGAGGCGATTACAGGCATTCACTGAGATTTCTTGCAAGCAAATGTTGTCAATGAATCATATTGTCGATGCACAAGAAATAATAATTGGCACCAACTTCTTCAGGTACCCGATAATTTCACGGTAGCGACCCAGCACTGTTCGAGCGTTATTGGCGTGATATTATTGCCATGAGATTATTATTCATAGAAGTTCCTTTTTTCTAAAAAAAATCCCATAAGAGAAATTCTCGATTCTCTTTTTCCATAAGTTATTAGTGAATTATTTTTTAGCAAATTTAAAAAATTTTATTTCTCATAAATATTTCTCATAAATGTATGTAAAAAGTAAAGCATAAAGCATGATTTTCCTATAGTAAAACTTGGATTATTTTTAAAAAATCGCAATGAAAATGAAATTTTAACATTTGCCATCGTTTCACCGTTGCTTTTTTTGCATCTGATTTTTGCTCAAAACAGTTTTTTTGATAATATAAAAATATTGCTTCGCGTAAAGCAACACTGATGCATTTCACTGCTGTAGAAGAAAAAAGCAGTGATCAGCATTTACCATTTGCATGTGATTTCTCCGAAAAGCAAGAAAATATTATCGTAAGAAACGCGTGATCCATCATTTTTTTTCGGATACGCAATTAAAAACGTCATTCAGCGTCGGACATCTTTTAAAAAAAAAGTAAATGATCTTTGAGTGCTTAAAAAATATTAAAAAATTTAATAGAAAAAATAGATTTTTGAGTGCTTAAAAGTACGACAGATTTTTGTCTTCTTCATTTTTATCAATGCGAACTCTGTAAATCAGTCGTTTAGTTTAGACGCCTTCAAATATTCATTGGTAAATATTTTTTGGCAAATGAGGCTCATTGCTCCTATTTATGGGCTTAGGGATATGGCTTGCGGGTAAATAAAATGAGCAAGTGAGAAAAATGAGATTGGTTTGGGCGAGTGGAGACGAGGCACACGGATGATAACGACGACGATGCAGTTGACAACAAAGAAGCCCTGAGAATACTTCTAAGCCATCAAGCTGTTGAGAGATATTCTCCACTTCCCTAGTTTTCCTCTTAGCAATTCGCGATATTCATCGTAGCCTCTCTCGACCTCAACTTAAAAAGCCGATTTACGCATTAACTCGACTTTTTTAAAAAGTATAAATTTGGGCTTTTTCCTATTGCCTATTGATGCCAGGGAGTCTCTTGGCGATAGATACAAATGAGTCGCCAGCATCACTCGGATTTTGAGATTCTCTCCTGCAAGAAATCAGCATCGACGCTTTAAATTGATCAAAGACCACTCCACTCACCATCTGTTGTTTATTATGCATTCAATAATAATGGTAAAAAGTACTATTATTATTACAACCTATGGTGCTTGCAATAGAATTTTTACATTAACCACCTAACTTGTGCAGTTTTCTAAAAGAATTATTGGAATATTTCTGCATAATTAGATGGTGAATAGCAATAATAATAGATTGTATTGTAATTTTAAACATTCCTAAATTAGACGAACAATCTGGATTTATGCTCTGCAGCGAGCGGTAATCTAAAAATTTTCCAAAAAATGATTATTTTTACACCAAATCGGCTCGTTTTATATGAAAAACATTGATCTGACCTTCTTATATGATAAATGGTGTTATTTCGCCATTTGACAATTTTATTTCTGAACCAAAATAATTTTACGAAGAGTATTATGAAGTATCACAGAGAATTTTGAATAGAAAAGTTCAGCGGGTAGAGATTTCGCTTAGTTTTGTCGTTCCACCCGATTCACTGATTTCCCCGCTAAGAGAAATCGTTCGCCTGCCAGCTATTCGAGTTTTATATCGAATTCTTTTCGAATTCAGTTAAATTTAGCATTGCTTATGAAAAATGCAAATGGCAAACTTATTTGAGAAAAAAATAGGCAAAGCGAGTGAATGAATTTGAATGAATTAAAATTTACATGAAATGGCGAGCAAACAATATAATTACATTTTAAATGTTTAAAAAAAAAGATAAAATTTGATAAATTTTTTTGCAGAATTGAAAATTGCGATTGAAATAAAGAAGAAATTTCATTGGAAATCGACGTTAGACTTCTTCCGAATTTATAGAAATTCATTCACAAATTCTATTTCTCATAGAGTAATTTTAAATTTAATTATTGTTAATTATTTTTTTTCGTATATAATTGTGCTGCTTTTTTTTTTTTTTTTTTTTTTTTTGCGTGTTAGAAATCTTATGAAAGAAACCTTTGCATGAGCCTCGCGAAATAGCGCAAAATTCAAAGAGATTCGAAAGGTTGTCAAAGTATTCGTTGAGTAGACGGAGCAGATAGCGATTTGGTACTGTAGTCTAAGGAATCGAATGACTCGGTGAATTGTTGCTGAGTTCAGGGCGCCGGTGCCGAGATTCCACTTGCCGCATGAGTAAGCATGAGTAAATAGTGGACTTATTCATATGAAGTCGCGCTTGAGACTGTTGAGACTGGCGGTCGAGACATGTTACTTCGACTAAGCATCCAACTTTCCTGAATTCAGTTCTCGTACCTTATTTGGAATAAATATGCCATTCGTTGTCGAATCTAAATACTGCTGTAGTTTTATCCCCAAGGATTCTCTAGCAAAAGCTATCACTTTAGTTGCCTCTGAAGTCAACCAATAAAATAAAATCGACAAATTAACTAGAAGTATTATTTCATAATCACCAAAACTGCCATTATCTTCCATAATAAATGGGAATTTGTACTTCTCAAGAGGGAAACAGTTGTCCACGATTGGTAATGTTTTATTTGATTTTTATTGCTATCATATTTTTCGATAGAATAAAAGTTGTAATAAAAATAATAATAAAAATATTAGAAATTATTTCACTTGCTATTCTTTATATCAAAAATAATAGGTGTAATTGTAGATTTGTACGTTCAATTTATGCCCTCTCTTATTTTATTTATATTTAATCTGCATTAGGTCACATAGATTGTCGGATGGGGTCATCTTCGGTTTGCCAGATGCACGATATATATGGTGCTCGACGAACCCCATTACATATTTATCATTTATTGTAGTGAGTAATGTCAGATGTTTTTGTCGGAGATGTTTTTTGCCATTTTACTTTTTATCGGTCTTTATCATTATCATTAAATTTTTTTCATTAAATGACGAGGATCTGCTGAATATTGCAATATTATAGCCAGGCTTTTTGATGTAATCCGTAGTCGAAACAAAGTCTTAATTTAAGCGTTTATGGGCACCAGTTGGGTCATCCTTTATCGCTTCCACAAGGGATGCATAAAAAAGCACGGATTCGATTCATTGATTCACGAGGGAAGCGAGAAGTAAATAAGAAGGAGTAAAGCATTATCATCAGAAGATAAATCTGGTTGACTGCTGGGGAACCGTTTGTATTCCTTAGTTTATAATCGGTGGAGCCAAAAAAGTCAGAAATTTGCTATTAGAAGGTGAATTTTTTAGTCTTTTTGGGTCATATCTGATTCTGACAGTGTTAAACCAACAATTCAGCGGGTGAACCAATGCTAAATACAGTTTAGTACCAACAAAGATTAATAAAGATTTCACGGTCACTTATGAACTATTCGAATTATAAATGAATTACATTGATGATAGATTTTTCCTACTTTTTTATACTCGAGAAAATCCACAAATATTTATTTTCTTCGGTTCGATTATCTTTAGGTAATGAACAGTTGTTCCTATAAATATTCTTTTTGCTCCCATAGTTTTTATGAAATCTGTTTGTAGATTTTTCTCATTTGGTACAAAATTTTTTATTGCTATTATTTATTATTTGTTTATTTATATTAAAAATAATTTACGACTAAATTTAAGATTTGTTTTTTAGATGAAATCGAATTTAGTTGGAGCGATTGATCAAGGAACGTCGAGTAGTCGTTTTATAATATTCGACATATCGCTGAAGAAGGTCGTCGCCAGTCATCAGGTGCGTTAAATTTTCTCAGTCCTTGTTTTTTCCTAGTTTTACTTTTTATTTTCTTTTATTTTCAAAGCAAATAAGATTTAGCATTAAATTATTGCATAATATTTTTGCAATGTTTTAATCGAATCGAATAAATCAAATTGAGGAATTTCTTGGTGGATTTTTTTTGTCAGTTTGTAAATTGGTTTTTTGTCGTGCAGTAATAATTCATATTGTTGCTTTTAGCAAATGAATTCGATTCGGCTAATTTAATATTTTTGATGATAAATGATAATTTTTGAAATGATAAATGATAATAATCTTTCTGTTATAAATTTTTTAATTATATGATAGAACTGATTTGTTGATCGTTTTTCAATTTTAATTATTACTTATTAGTATCAAATTGTTTTGGAAATATTTAAAATAATTCTAGGAAAAAATTAGTCAATTTTGCCCGAAAAGTGGATGGGTAGAAATTTGTCCGAAACAAATTTATGATAGTGTGATGAAATGCATTGAAGAAGCATGCAAGAAATTATCGCGAACGAATTACTCCGTCTCACAGATTCGATCAGTTGGACTTGCAAATCAGCGTGGTTAATTTTCTTATTCTTCCTTATTCCCCTCTAATATTTGCAAAAATTTTGTCGAATTTTTTTTTACTTTGGAAGAAAATAGAGTAAAATAAATATTTTTGGTTTTTTTTTAAAATTTTTAATCTTTGATTGCATTTCGAGTAAAAATTAAATTATCAAATGGTTTATTTGTTTTACTCTATTTTTATCTGATTTCTATTATCTGATATCTATTGTCTGATTTTTTTGGCAGAAGTAAATTTATTAATGAAAATGAAATCTAATTGGACGGGGGGGGGGGAAGGGATAAGGATAATAAGGGATAGCAGTTGTGGTGAAGGAATCTATCCGTAATTCCGTCCCCCTATCTGGTGAAGGACCATAGTTTGTCATCCCTTTTAGCCAGTAGTACCAGTCAAAATAAGAATGGTATTGTTATATAATCGAAGCCCTTAGGCCCTTCGTGATTTTGCGGTAGCTTATGTTTGCTGAATTTCTCATCTGAACTTTGGAGAAAATATTTGAATAATTTGCTCTTATCTCTGATACCATATTCGCTAAATAAATTTTATTTAATTTTATTCTCGGTAAATTTTATTTTAAGAAACTACAATAGTATGGGATAGCAGTTGTGGTGAACCGTTATTTAATGCTATCGTTTGGTTGGATTGTCGAACCGCTCAACTTGCTGACGAGTTTATTGAAAAAACACCCGACAAGTGAAATAAAACTTTTTCTAAATTTCTTGATTTTTTGCTCAAATTATGAGTTTATTTTTCGAAAAATTTTTCTTTTTTTCCCAGGTATGGATTTAAAATATGGATTTCATTTTATTAAGTCGAATATTTAATTTTTTTCTTTTTTCAGATCGAAGGATTTTTTAAAATCTAAAACGGGACTGCCAATCCATTCATATTTTAGTGCACTTAAAATACGTTGGCTATTAGATAATGTGAATGAAGTTCAGAATTCTTTGCAAAGAGGTTAATTTGGCTTTCGTCTTCTTTTGGCCGTCAAATTCAGCTATTCGCTTTATTTCATTTGTCCTGAAAAGATCATTTAGAAGAGAGAAATTTTTGGTTTTTTTGGGAAATCGTATTTTTATGATGCATCGTTTTTTTTAGGTACACTAATGTTTGGTACTGTGGATTCTTGGTTACTTTGGAAATTGACGGGAAAACATATAACTGATGTAACTAATGCAAGCAGAACGTTATTAATGGATTTGAATAAATTAGATTGGTCCTTGGAACTTTGTAAATTTTTCAAAATTCCTCGTTCAATATTGCCAAAAATTTGTTCATCAGCTGAATTTTATTCTAATATATTGCATGGTTAGTATTCTTCCTTTAACATTTGTATCATTTTGGTGTTAATATTCTGATAAAAAATCTGGATTAATATAATTGGTATGAGATTTTATTATGATTACTGGCGGTCATTTGCGGCAAAAAGTCATTTGCGGTCTTACTGGGTTTTTTTTTGATAAAATTTATTTCTGTTAAGAGATATGGGGACCGAAATTATTCTCATTTTCCTCGATAGATGGAGCATTTGATAGTACCATAAATATGATTGGTTAGTTAATTTAGAATTACTTAAGGTCCATTAAAAGGGATACCCTTTACTGGATGTTTGGGCGATCAACAAGCCGCTATGCTAGGCCAAAACTGCATTCAATATACAGATATTAAATCCACTTACGGCACGGGAACATTTGTGCTTTGTAATACCGGAACAAATCTAATAATAAGTAAAAATGGGCTTTTATCTTCTATCGGATATCAGGTCTTTTTTTGAAAAAAATTCCAATCTTTTATAGAAAAAATTATAAAATTATATTCAAAAAGTAATAATAAATAATTTGCAAAGATATCTTTGCAGCTTGGTAAAAATACTTCGGTTACGTATGTTCTTGAAGGATCGGGTTCAATTGGTGGTAACTCAGTTCGTTTTCTTCGCGACAATTTAGCAATTATAAATGTTCATTTTTTTTCTGTTAATTGCAATTTTTTATGCTATTATGCGCTATTTGATAAGAGAAAAAATTTCGAGTATTTCCGTTAAAATTTTTTAAAATTGACTTAGTTCGCTTGCAAAAAAAGTTATTTTAGAATTTATCAGAAGTGGAAAATTTGGCGAATTCGGTTAAAGATAGTGGTGGAGTGATTTTTGTGCCATCGTTTTCTGGTCTTTTTGCACCATATTGGGATTCCACTGCTCGTGGAACCATGTTTGGTTTGGATCAATCAACAAGAAAAGGTCATATCGTTCGTGCCGTCCTCCAAGCAATTTGCTGTCAAACAGCTGAATTAATCGACGCATTTGAGAATGATTTGGGAGCGAAATGTGTTTTAGGAAAATTAAAGGTTTCATTCACTTTAATATTATAAGAATAAAAAGGAAATCCTTTAGAAATCTTTCAAAAGATTTGCTAATTAAGAGAAAATTAATGCAATCTCTCGTAATCTTTTGTTGACATTGAACTCGTTGTCATTGTCATTTAAAATATTTTAAATGAACAATTATGATCGTAAAATATTATAAGATTTCTGAATTTTCTCAGCCCCTGTGGATAGTCCTGATCATCCTCAATCTTGCGTCCTCCACCAGAGGTACCTGGGAGATTGAAAGTTCTGCAATATTTTGGTTGTTCCCTAGTAATGAGATCTCTAATGTTGTTCCTGGAATTTACTGAAGCCACTTTCCTAGTTTAGGGATCTTGCTCCAATTATCACTGGAATTTACTTTCCACATCTTTAATTTCCTATTTCCTCTTTCAGCCTTCGATAGTATTTCTCGAACTTCTCATATTCCTTCTTCCTAAATACTGCTGAATTATGTTGGGTAAATATTAATAGAAATAAATAGATTTAAAAAATGTCAAATAAATATAAATATAGAAATAAATGTTAACTGAGCTTGTTTTTTTTAGAATATTAAACAAATGCAAATAAATACATTTGTAGATTGATGGGAAGGTAACGTCAAATGTATTATTTAATCAAATGCTTAGCGATACGATCGGCCGAAGCATATTTTGTTGTCCGTTGGCGGAAGCAACTTCATGGGGTGCTGCACTGGCTTCAGCGATTGGTGCAAATATTATTAGGTTGCAAAGAAGAAAAAAATTTTTTTTAAATTTTTCAATTTTAAAAAATATTTTTCTAATCAAAAATTTTGTTTTTTTTTAGCGAAATTTAATTAAAATTTTTCTTTTTTTAGTGTCGATGAATTGAATTCGTTTTCGTTCGATAAAAATGCTATAAAATACGATGCGAAAGGAAATAACGAAGAAAGAATGAAACTTATGTTTGCATGGAAAGAGGCGATTAAACGTACTCAAAACTGGATTTCCTAATGGATTTTTTAAAAGAATTTCGAGAACGAATGGGATTTTTTCTTTTTTTGCACCTTTTTTTCAGGAATATTTCTTATTTAAACATTATAAATTTTGCATATTTTCCAAATAAATTCGTTTTTGTTTTAGATTTGAATTTTCGTAAATTGAAAAAAATTTAGTGTAATCGAACTAAAAAATAATGTTGAATATTGTTGCACTCATCTCGTAATTACCTTTAAATTTTATATTCCCTTAATATTTTTGTCAAAAACGTCGAAAATTTCTTCCTCCTTTAAAAAAATTAGTGATAATAGAAGTGATAAATGATTTCTGGAGAGATAAAAAAGAGGATAAATGTCTATGAATAGTGCAGCGAGCAATTTAGTTTTATTAGGTCCTAAATAGATTTTCTGAGATTTTTTAATTTACGGTAGTCCATATGTTTTTAGCGGAAAACAAGGTTGTTCGTTGATTTGCGTAGGGTTATGGAAAATAGGGGGAATGTGGCGGATGGTGAATTTTATTTAAACCAATTGACAGGAAATGAATTGGTGATAAGCGTTATGTGTGGTTATCACCTTTGGACTGTTATTTATGCATTATCAAATAAATTGTTAGAAATAATTGTTTTGCTAATGTAATCATTATTATTATCGTTATTATTATTATTATCAAGATACTGATATTGTTATCATTATTGTCATTATTATTGTTGTTGTGATTTTTTTGGCGCAAAAATTTCACTTGCTCACGTTACCTTCCCTGTTATTTATCATTTGTATTTATTATTTTGCAAGAGCAAATGGTGTTATATTGTGTTTGGCATAAGCTTCATATAGGCATTTTTGGTATTTTTGTAGTGTTTATATTGGATATGAAGGGAAATGTTTTTTTTCGCTTTCGAATAATTATTATTTAAAAAGTTTATCAACTTTATTTTTCTAAATATTGTCGTCATTTTTGGTTTTTTAAATTTCCGCTGACTAACTACTGGTTTTAAATCTTTCGATCCAATCTAAAAGTAAGTAAGTCTACGTTTTGCCTTATCATTTTCAAATAATTCTCGGTTAATTTAACAATGAAATGAAAAAACAAAGCAATTTTCAGAAATCATATATTAATATTAATATTAAATATAATTAATATTAAATAATATTTAATGTAATTAATATTAATATTTAATATTAAATAATATTTATTGACTTCTATCATTTTATTTTAATTCATCTATTTTGCTAATTTCCTTATTATTTGCTTGTTATTTGATTATTTATTATTTTTGGGATTGTTTTTTTCCTTTTTAATTTCATGTTATACTAACTGATAAAATCTTATTTTCTTCAAGTTTAAAGGTGTAAAGTTGAATTAACGTACAATATTCCTTCGTCAGAGAATCGCAAGGTGATCGAATGGGCTTTATAGTATCGCTTAAATTTGTAACTGCTTTTCTCCTTTAAGTCGACTAAAATCGGTTTACCATCAACTTATATTTTGCTGTAAAGTGCCGTAGTATTTGAGCCCGTGGTTAGCACTCAATTTCTCGATTGATAGTTGAAGATTTTATTTGTGCCAGTGATTTCTGTAAAAATATTTGATTTTTCTCGAAAAATCTAATTTTTGAAAAATTTAGTGAAACTTCAAAATAATTCTTTTTTTTTTCAGCTCACAATTTTAGATACGATTTGATGGATTATGGAGAGAAACTTTCGTTGCAATCAATCGCCCAATCTTTGGCAGTGAAACATAGAAAGCTCCAAAAACCGAATAGAAATGTTACAATGCGAACGTATAATCCTGGTATTCGTGGTTAGTAAGGCCATTTTCCTTATCGTTATTCGGAAAGCACCACTTATTTGTGGCTTACTTAGTTGCGGCTTACATTAAGCAATGGTGCGGATTCAATTGAATTTGTATATTTATAGTAAATTTTAAATTTTAATAGAAAATTTTACCTCCTTTTCTCTTATTTTTTTTTGTTATATCTTTTTCAATATTTTAGATTAGATTACAGGTCGAATTCGCTGTGATTGCCAGGCAAGAGAGCATAAATTGATTCGAAATTGCATGTCATGTGGTCGCGTTGTTTGTGAGCAAGAAGGAAGTGGTCCTTGCTGGTTTTGCGGTGAATTAGTTTGCACACGTGATGAAAGGAAGGTAGCAACAATTTTTTATTAGAATTTAAAAATTCCACTAGGTTGGAAAATGTGAAAAGAAAAATTTATTTTATTAAATATTTTATTTAATTATTCATTGCCGTTTAATACACCAAGCAATTTCCATATTCTGCAAATTTTTTGATGATTTTTAAGGTTTTGGAAGATGGTTCGAAAAATTCATTGATTCTTCGTTCTAAATTTGATCGTGCAATATTCAGTAGTGCATCTGGTTCTTCCGATGCTACCATTCAAAATGATTTAGAAGCAGCTAAAGATCTGCGAAACAGATTGTTGGAAGCTGATGCTGATGTGTTAGTGTTTCGAAAATTTAGACCTTAGAATTGGTGAAATGGTTTATTGTTAATGCTTTTTTCTAAGAATGGTTAAACTGTCTCTGTTGGATTGTCGGAGTAGACAAGTTTCCCAAGAAGTCAGCTTTACTCATAGGCATTATATAATTAATTTAAATTTAATTAAATATGATAATAATGAGAGATTCCTTAAAATAATAACGCCGATGAATTTGTTAATAGTAATTGAGTTTTATTAGTTTGCAGTGACCGAAGAACTCGTGTTCACGATTTGCAGTCCGATTATCATAATCTTGAAAATAATATTTATTTGACAAAAGAGGTATTCTAAAACATATCGACTATTCAAGTGTCACTGATTTGCCATTTCACAATCTGAATTCAACAAATCATTTAGGAAAGGGAGGCCATAATAGCACGCAAACAAGAAATAAAAGAATTTCGTGCTCGCCAAAAAAAGCTGGTAGCACTCACTCTTGAACGCGAAAATATTAAATTTCAAGAAACCCACGTAAGATTTGTTGTTTTTGTTAACAATGCTAGCTCTTTATGCTAAAGAAGATGGGAAATGCTTATTTAAAATACTGTACAGATGAATGATGCAGATGATCCTGTAATTCAATCAATTATGGAGAGATCTATGAATCGAGTGAAGCAAATTACTGATCAGAACAATCCAACTTTTATGTCACCTAATTCTTTTATTGCTAAGGTAATAGGCTTTGTTCTACCGCTTATTAATTTATTTTTATTGATTAATTTTCTGGATTTTTTCGTTATTAATAATTTATTGGTAAATGATAATAATTTTAATAATTTTAATGAATGCAAAATATTTGGAAAAAGTTAAAATATATAAATTCGAATATAAATTTCCAATGAATATATTCAAAAATACTGTAGTACGATGAAACGATTGGACGAAAGATAAAGAATATCGACTATGAAAACATTTACGATTTGGAGGATTCAAATTTTTATTTGCTAAATGATCAGATGATGTATGCTTATGTAGAGCGTAAAGGATTCGCAATAGCTTTGTATCAACCAGTTGCATCATTTCTTGTTCATGGAAAAAGAAAGTATTGTTTCTCTTTGGAATATCCTTCATTTTTTACTAGAATCAATTTTTTTGACTTAATTTAATTAAACTGAGTCGTTAATATAGTTAGTTTGTTCAGTCTTGCAATTTTCGTTTTGAACGAATTAATCACAGAATTTTTATCGTCTTTAGACATATACCATGGCACGATGAGGTTCATTTGCGTGGTCCTTTAATTATTGTTTCAAATACTCAGAAGATGACAGACGAAATTTTCGATCACGAAATATCCATGTGCAAAGCACAAACAGAAAATTTTGGTTATTTTTTACCAAAATATTGTAAACTTTTGTTCATAGGAAAATTTCTTTCTTATAATTTCTGGATTCATTCATAGGAAATGTAAAAATTTAATAAAATAATACTCGTTTCCTGTCTTTTTTTAATTGTATTCTATTCTACTTTTTGGAAATATTTTCAGAATCCGATTTCCCATGCGGTGCAATATTGGGTCGCGCATTTTTGGATGAAGTTTTATCACCAGCAGAATATGCAGATGTGGTAAAATCTTATATTTCATATCTCTTGAATAACTTAGATTTTTTTGTAGATAAATAGATAGAAATAAAATTTCAAATAAAATTTTGCAGTATCCTGGTGATGAGTGTTGCGAAGTCAAGAATGGATTCATACTTATTTTCAAATTTTTCGAGCCTTTGCTGATACCAATTCCACATATACCTTCTCGAAGTGATATTTACAAGATTAATAATCATTTAAAAAATGCTGTCCAAGATATTTTATTGTCTCAGTGATTTATCTTCTCTTTAATATAGGCCAAAGTATATGTCTTTTCTCATTTGTGATTTATTCGGGTTTGCATTATTTTGATTATAATACTTATTAATTATTTATTTAAATGAATCATTTGAAATTTTTAATTATTGGTTTAATCCTCTTCAAATATTCCTTAATGAAATTTGTTGACTGCAAGTTATTCTTAATTATTTTTAAATCGTGTATAATCTATTATAGCCATTTTGCCGCAAATAAAAATTATTATGCAAGTTTTTTTTTGATGATGGTACTTGGTGCATGGCGAATCTCATTTTTTCTCTTTATTCATGCTATATTTTTTGCAGAATGCAATTCTTTTCCATTTTCTGGTATTAAATGAGAAAAATATAGTAATCGAGAAAGAAAATTTACTATTTAATTGCAAATTTTACAATTTCTTAATATTTTATGGAGGATGAAGAGGTTTAATTTTGTAAATTGAATGAACAAATTTGTTTTCGTTTTCCTATCTTCAAATATCTTACATCGATATTGTTTTCAGGAGAGAAGAAGTATGGAAAAAACTGACATGCAGGGTGTTGAAATTTTCTTGAAGCCTTTCTTAGGTCTTGCGTTTCACCCGCTAAATCATGCCAAAATTTTACAGCAGCTCGGTTTCGAGCCATTTCCATTAAGTGTTGGTAAAATGTATTTTATTGGTCGTGAAACTTATTTTTTGCCAAATACTCTTGAATATGGTATGTTTTACGACGTTCATTGTTTATGCTGCAATTGATCTCTTCTTATTTGAGATTGTGGAAAAATATTGATAGGGAAAGGTTGTTTTTATTTTTCCCCAGGGTAAATATTTCCGTAATTTCCAACTTTCCAGCGTTAGATCGACCTCACTGTAGTAAATCAGTCAAATTAGTGAAATCAGTCAAATTAGAAACGATGTTAAAAGAGGGTAATGAAATTTCCGTTCATAAAATTATTAGATTTTCAAATTTCCGTTCATAATTATTATTATAGTTCATTATTTTGAATATTAATTGGTCTTATCAACTTCACTGTTATAATTTTAGCTCGTAATATTATAAAATTGTACGGATGGTCAACTGTTTTCACTGGAGCAGATGCAGCTGTTTGTTCTCAACTGACAAATTGCTTGGTCTCTATGAATGTTTCAGCGGTATAAAAAAATATTCATTTTAGTTTCTATTTTTCATATGATTGAACTCTTTGAAATTAAGTAAACTTTGACATTTTTTAATAATTTTCGCGGTATTACAGTATATCGATAAACATCATTCGGATCTTGGTGGTATATTCGACGATGAAGATTTAAAAAAGGATGAAAAGGAATTAAGTGACTGGTTTAGCGCTAGGCGTCATTTGCGGTCTGCAATCAGGGAAACAGTTGTGCGCTCCGCTGCCATTGTTGCTGCCCGACCTTTCGTTGGTTAGTACCATTTTGTTTTATTTTTCTGATTTTTTTAAAATTAAATTATATGATTAAATGTTAATTTCGGAAATTTATTGATGATGATTTTTAGTAATCATGGTTCGACAAATAGCGCAGTTAATTGGTGGTGAAACCAAATATGGAAATGTTTTTTCATCGATTTTTGTTATTGGTGCTGAAGAAGGACCAGCTGGATTTTTTTCGTTAGTATTTATGGTCCTAACTGCAAGATTTTAAGATTGTTTTATTTTTTATTATATTTTTAAAGGGCATTTAACTTTTTTGATGGAAAAATAAGGCCTTTTTTCATATTAATTCATTTTGTTGCTGATAATATTTATAATACAATTTTTGCACTGCTTGTTATAATTTTTTAATGTCTTTTTGTTTCAATTTAATTTACAGTGGTCTCATTCCTCAATTAATTGCGGAAATCGCATCAATATGGGGAACACACATACTGATTTACGGTATTGAACGTTCATTATTGATTACCCAACGTCATTTCCCGGTTAATTTTTTGTAGATTATTAAATCTACCACTCAGAATTTTTTTATTTTATCTCAAAATTTTTATCTCGGATGAGCAAGCCGCATTAATTGCTTTGAACAATCATCTTTTTCAGGAGGATGAGAAAGAACAACAACTTTTGAAGTCTACTGGTAATGTTGTTCGCACAGTTTCTCCTTTTATTATCAACTCTTTGTGCTATCCGTATAATCTTGTTTCTACAGTTATGGCTGTGGCTGGCTCTGGGTACAGTTTTGTTTGCAAACGTGGAACTCATTAAAAATTTGAGAATACTTTTGATTATTTATTTTTTTAATGAGTCATTTACTTATTTTACTAATCTTCCATTTTCTTAAAAGTTTATTATTTTAAGGTTGATAGTGTCGATGTTACCGTATAGCCCTGGATTTGGAAGTTGGATTGATGCCCACAGTTACATGAAACTGCAAGGGGCATTGAAGAGGGGTGCAAAATTCTTTTTCCGTGAACATACTGGTGTAGTTCATGTTGGGCGAAACAAGGAAATTTATGCCGATTTCAAACACTTCATTTAGATATGTTCGTTTCTTACTTTTTTTTTAAACCTTATTCTTTTTCTTTTTTACATTAAATAAATTTTTTGTTTTATAACTTCTTTTATCAAGTTGCCTTAATTTTAAATTTTTACATTATAGATTTTAATTTTTTTCTAGCTGATGGGAACAAAATTTTCATTCAAATATCAGACATCTGCAGAATGACACTTGTGAAAGTGCTACGATGGAAAAACTGCATTTGTTGTATTATATTAGGATTTGTTATCAGTTATTTAGCTCATAATTTTATCATCATTGAATTTTTTTTTTATTTTTTAAATTTTGATATTTTCTTAATCCGATTCATGAAATCAGTTAATGTCGTTTAGATTTCAATAACAAAATTTCGTTATCTAGTTCAAATATTGGTGAGAATTTTCCCAAAAGCCTAGCAATACAATGTCATATAGTTTGTTGATAGATTGGTGTATAATATGACATTGATATATTTTTTTTTATGAATAAAAATTTTCATTAAATCTTATGTAATTTATAGTGTTTACTCATTTATTTACTTTATTTTCTTATTTATTTATTCATTTACTTGCTTTAACTAAATTTTCCGATTTTTTCGCAAATGATTATCATTTATCACTTATTTTTCTCCTGCTGATTTGGTATAGACTTTGGTTTACAATGTTTTCCATGAAATAAAGATATTATTAGATATATTATTATAGTAAAAGATATATTGTAAAAGATATTGGTGGTGTCAATTGTACTGCAATTCGAAAATTGCTTGGGAAGGACAACGAATGAGTGGTATTGTACCAATCATTATTCGATTGGAAATCGAGAATAAAGCTAATTTTGTTGAATTCAGTTTTTCATCTGATAATTCGGGTAATTTTTTTTTGGTTTATTTCAGTTCTTTCCTCGAAGAACGAGCATTGGCTAAATTTTTTATGTTAGGGTGAATCCAGCATTTTTGAATTAGAGGGAATGAAGTGCAATGTCTTACTACTTGCATCTCTTTTACTTTCATTTTTTACTTTTCGGGAATATTAAGTTAATTAGTGCTTTAGAATATTTAATTATTTATTGAAATTGGAAGACAGTAGTCTTCTTCTTTCTCATTATTTATTTTGATACTATGCTCTGGACTATTTATGTTTCGTACCCTCTAACTTGAGAGTCGATGAGCGATGTCCATTAATCAATCTATCGCATAGTGAAATATTGTAGAGGAAAGGACATAACCTTGAAAGATTTGTCACTTCCCCATACATACAGTGCCGATATATGCTGATAAAATAGCTGATAAAATAACTTCATGAGTCGAACGATCTTCTCGAGAAAACCGTCGTGTTCTATCACCATAGAGAATCCGCTGCTCTATTAATTGAATCGAAAGCAGCTGCAAAGTCGATGAAACATGTGACGATGGGTTGCTGATATCTAAATTGGTGTTGAACAGCATTCTTAGCGTGAATATCTCTGGTTAGCACAATCGCGCCCATTTATTAATTCAGCTTGATTAGAGCGTATCTTCCTATCTCACATTACCATGATTTAGCAGGAAGGAAGCGAAAATTTTTCTGTAAATGTCTAATAGGCTGATTCGATAATTGTTACAATACTCTATAATTGTCAGCCTTAGAAATTGGAAGTAGAATGGGTTTGCTTCAATCATCTGGTATTATTTCTTTTCGCCACACTAGACAGTACATTTGCTCAAGATATGAAGGTTGATGGATAACGTTTGAAGAGTTCGGCATGAAGACCATCTTCACCGGAAGTTCTATTGGAATTTACGAATTACAAAGATTATTTCCTCTTTTGCTGGCGATTCGCAGTTGCAAACATATGGTTCGGCGAGAAATCTGAGCTAAATCTGGGAAAACAGATGGGTGCCTCGTGGTTAAGTTGGTCTTCCATCTTATGAGGCCTTAATACCCTTAACAGGCGCTTATAACTTATTCCACTGACCTCTCTGCCAGAGTTTGCTTTGTCAAGGAAGTGAAATAGTTTTCTGTTATTACCTAACTGAATAGCCGTCTCCATTTGCAAGGCACTATTGCTCCAATAGCCTTTCTGTCTTATCGTGATCCTCATAATAAGCATCCGATAGTCATGATTTTATGACCTTCATCCATTCTCGGATAGTTGCACTGTTGCTTCCTATATTTCCTGTATCATCTGGAAGTTACTTTCAGAGACATGTCTTTAGTTACCAGTATTCTTCTGCTATTCCAGAGACGTTTATATTCCACATATTTATATTTCACTGACGTGTTTCAATTATTTATTTTGAAATTCACTTTTCCCATATCTTTTAATATAAGATAGTTGAAGCTGAAGGGTCTTGAAATACGTATTATTAATTTTATTTGAATCTTAGCTCGAACCATAGCATAGTCTGATCCATGATGGTTACCAGTTTCAATGTCCCGACAGGAATGACTCTAGTACTGAACTCTTTTAACGGCGATTGACTAAGATATAATTAATCTAGCGCATCGGACCCTATACCATTTTACCAGTTACCGAATTCATCGTGGTGGTATCGTGACCAGCGCGCTCCATTTTCCCCCGATTATGACCGTGTCATCTCTCGGTAGAAATGTTGTTAATAGTTGAAGTTCCGCATAAAATTTACCTTTGTCGTGATCATCCGCATAAAATTTTTCAAATTTTTCCTTTCATTAATTTCATTTTACTTTTTCCTTTTCCTTTGATTTTTCCCATAGGCCACACAGTTTACTAGCTTCCACTCAATCAAAGCGGAACGAGTAGTTTTTTCACATAAGATAATCGCTGTGGCATTTCCCCCTGAGTTGCCCGAGACACCACAATAATATACGCAACCTCTGTTCGTAGCCATGTTTAACTATTACTCGAGATATGGCGTGAGGAAGACGGGTTTCTGGCAAATAGACCACATCAATGCAGTATTTAGAAATGATGTGATTGCTTGGCTTACAACGTCTACAAGTGTTCTGATATTCCAAGCAGCTGTGGCCAATACCTCACCTCGCGTGAAAAGTGCTAACTCTGTCGTTCTCTTGGTCTAATTCTCAATAATTACTCTGGCTCGCGAGCATCATATTCTCAAGCCTTGAGGTCTTACTACACCAGGATTGTTTTTTTTTGTTACATATACCACCGGGCTGGAAGTTTCATGTGCATCAAAGTATCAAGGAGACCTGACACTTTCAGCATAAAATCGTTTGGTGATAGAGTTACGGGTGGTCCTCAACAACCACTCGGCTTTTTAACACTATGACAGGTTTACTTCTGTCAAAGATAAAGATAAAAAAATAAATGGAAGTTGGGAGAATATAAAAAAGTTTGAAGAATTTACAAGAAAAAAAATATCGATTATGAGATTATGAATTTCTTTATTGAAAAATTTTCTGATTTCAGTTTATAAAATTTTCTACTTTAGATCTTTTCGAAAGGCCACTAATAAGAGCGAAGTCAAGAGAACTAATTATGTCAGAGAAATATGAAACTAGTGAACTGGGAAATCGTGAAGTATTTTTTCTTGCAATCATTTAATATTTTTAAATTTCATTAATTTCATTTTACTTCCTTCAAAACGACTGTCAATCACTCAAATATTTTTTGGTCAACTTTTTTTTAGGTATTGTTGATAATTTATTGCTTTTTCTCTTGTTAAATATTATCGCATTTGGAAAAATTTTTCTCATATTTTCTCGTAAACTTATGATAAACGAGTAAATTTAGGGTGTAAACGATTTGGGACGAAGGACATATGCCGAAGTAGTTGTTGAAACATTCAGTAACTTGGAAATAAATCGTGAGATTGCACCTTCTTGTAGTGCACAAATATTACAACCAACTGCATCAACATCTTCCATAACGACTGATTTCCGAGGTTATTTTGTTGTAAGAAAATTTTTTCTATTTTTCATTATCGCCAACAGAAAAAATGAGAAATTGAGAATTCGACTAAATTTTTCAAACATTTCTACGCTCTGTTTTATAGATTTGGAAAATATGCCATTTTATTCGGGTAATCCATTTGTCGAAAAAACATCAGGTGTCATTCATTTTTATAAATGGAGGTTTGTTTTTTTTGCTTCTTATGAGAGCATTACCGTTCCCATTTGGCTTCTTCAACTACTTGGAAGAGTTTTTTTATCAACTTTTAAACTAAGGTACTATTGAGTCCGCAACATTTTAATTGATTTCACTTGAGGTCTTTGGATTTTTTATGTTTTAGTAATTCCCTTACAGCTTTATTTCATTTATTGATTTATATTATATATTTTTTAAAAAAACGAAGGCGATATATACCAGCGCTCTATACTTATAAAGATTTAAATTATGTCATAAATAGCCTCAGTTTTTTCTTAAAACTTTATTATTATTTTTATTATTATCATTGTTATTATAGTGATTCAAGAAAAAATGTTAAAGAGAATTGTACGATGCTTTGTATGCTTCATGTGCCTTCATTGGTTAATTGTCCGGAACTTTTAAAGTTTGTTTCACCACGTTTTCAGCATATTTCTTCAATGAAAATTGTCCGTGATGCAACACCCAATCAGTATATGGTTATTATCAAATTCAAAACTCCAGTTAGTAAACAATTTTGATTTATTATTTATAATGATCAATTTTTTCGGAATTTAAAGATTTTTTAAAGATTTTTCATTCTTCTTCTTCTTCAGCTCTCATTATTACTGGTTAGACAACGACTAAAAGGGTAAGACTTTTCCAAACTGCTCGGTCTGACGCCATCACTAATAATAGTAACCATTCCTTTTTCCACCGTCTAAGTCCATATATCACTGTTCCCCCTGTACGTTTAAAATCTTTCCTAGCTGTATCAGTCCAGGTCTTGATTGGCTATCCTTATTTTTGACGCCAACCACCACAGGGTTCGGCAAGTAGCAAAATATGCGTTAACTTCTGTGGTTGACGACAAAAAACATGCCCTAAGCAGCGAAGGCGATGCTTTGTGATTAGTATTTGAGCGAAGATGGATCAGTAATGCGCGATTTTATCCGCTCGACGGATCTGAGTGGTTAAAGGCTGATAGCTTCTTAATATTTTCCACTCTTATTGACCATATCTCGCAGCCATATAGAAAGACCAAACGAATTGCAGCTATATGGGCGCGGATTTTCGTCTTTATGGTGATTTCGCAACGGTCCCATAAAGATTTCGTCAACTGGAAAATATATTTCTTTATTCGGGTTACAACTCCATCTTTTGCCTGGCCATTTGGGATTAGAGTGGATCCAAGATATTTAAAGGCGCACTCCCAAATATTTTTCATAGACCCTTTCTTTCCTTTTTTATAGATTTTGTGTATTTTATTAGTACTTTCTGATTCTAGAATAGTGCTACCGAATTTTATAATGAATATAATGGTGTGCGTTTCAATGGAATTGGGCTTGAAAGATGCTTATTAGCATTCGTTGAAAAAATCGATTCGGTATGATACGATTTATTGCAACTAAAAATAACTTTGATTGTTCTTTCGAAGAATTTTATAACAATTTTTTTTGCTATATTATTATGATATTTTAAAAAATTTTTAAATATTTTTGAAAAATTAATTTTTTATGAAAATACTTTTTTATGAAGTTCTGGAAAGGTGATCGCAAGGCTACAATGGATTGTTTAACCGAGTTGCCTTCATGTGCAGTTTGTCTTGAAAGATTGGATGATGGTATACTAACCGTTCTTTGTAATCATTCCTTCCATCAAAAATGCCTCGAACAGTGGGCAGATACTACGTAAATTTTATTATTTTCTTTAATTTGAATTGATTTTGATTATTTTTTTGCAAATAAAGCGGTAAATTTTGTTGCGGTTAGAAGATAAATTATTATCTTATAATTTTATAATTTTTATTCATAGATGCCCAGTTTGTCGCTATAATCCAACTCCAGAAGTGATTGAGGATCAAAAATGCTTTGAGTGTGGCAGAACAACGGATCTCTGGATATGTCTTATTTGCGGAAATGTTGGCTGTGGGAGATATTCAGATGCCCATGCATACAAGTAAATTTTTACAATAAACTGTAAGATTTTCAGCTTTTTGAAAATTCTTGAAAATTGGTAAATTTATTCTATCTTATGCTCGATTCTGTTCTAAGTTTTTTATAGTCCCATAGTATGCAAACATTTTTCAGACATTTCCAGTTAACTTCTCATACTTACACCTTAAAAATTGGTAGTGATCGTGTTTGGGATTATGCTGGTGATAATTACGTGCATCGCTTAATACATAATGCGGGCGATGGGAAATTAATTGAGTTCCAACGAAATCAAAATGAAGTGAGAATCTAATTCATTTTTTATAGTTGTAGTTTATAGATACTTGTCAAATAAAAATTCTATAATTTAATTTCAAATTTTAAATAAAAATAATGAAAATTTTTAATTTTATCATAGATATTTTTACTATAATTTTCAATATAATTTTTGTATTTTTTTCCTTCAATCTTTATTATATTTATTATAGTCTTAGTAATTACTTTAGTCTTTCTTGGATATTACAACTCAAACTTCGATGCTAAAAGTATAAACTTGTGAAGAAAATTTTTAGGTTATGGGCGATGAAAAATTGGAAGCTATTCAATTGGAATATGCTTATTTATTATCAACTCAGTTGCAAAAACAAAGAGATTATTTTGAGCAAAAATTGGCTGATTTAGAAATGAAATTTAATAAATTCGAAGAAAATTGCAATTCTACTGTAATTACTTCATTGTTAGATCTTTGATTTAGTCTTTGATTTTTTTTCTAATTTTTAATTTGTTTTGATATATAAATGGAATAAATTTAAGAATGAATAATTTCTTTCAATATTAAAGGGATTTTATATTTTAAATTTTTAAATTGAACTGAATTATAATTTTCTGTGAAATGATCTAGATTTCTAACGGATATTTTTGAGCTAAATTAGTCGCTTTCTCTTTTAAGATAAAAAATTTGAATTCACAATTATCTCGAACTATTCTCGAATGTGATAATCTAAAAAAGCAATTATCAGTTAGTGAAAAATCGCGGCAAACAGCTGAAAGAAATGCGTGTAATCACAAAATTAAACTGGAAAAGGTAAAGATATGTTTGTTATCTGAGTGGCTGTTGGACCATCTGTTGCCTAGATGATTCTATGAAAAGATCATCTAGTAATTAGTAAAGTCAAAAATGAATATAACTGTTGTATTATGGTTTAATTATTCAAAATTGTTTCTTTTGTTTCTTATTTTTATTATTAAGGCTTTGTCCTCATTATCTGAAGAAGAAGTGATCAATCAAGTGTTGAGGTCAGATCGCGAAAAGTTGAGGACACAAGTGAAAGAACTTGAGCAGGTTACCTCAAATCAAACTTTTTTTTAAAGATTTTTAAAGGAAATTTCTAAAGTTCAAATGCTAATTCTGTTTTTTTTCTAGAACAATGACAGTCTTACCGATCAAGTTCGAGATCTGATGACCCATTTTGAAGCGCAGTGCAAAATTCAAGAATCAGCAAAGGCTGGAGCAGTAAGTCTGCAGGTTTTATTTAATAGTTCTTCAAAAAATTTCAATTTCAACAATTATTATTGCTCAGTTATTTTTAATATTTTATTCCTAATGATATTAATGATATTTGTAGGAAATACAAGAAGGCAAGGTTGTTATAACTGAAAAAGCCAAATTTTCATCTCAGAAACGTCGTAAAAAATGAAATATATCTTCTTGGTAGCTTTAATTTTGTAGAGTGCCCCACATTTTTTGTTCTTTATATATCTGTGAATGCTGGAATTTTTTTAAGGAAATGAGAAAAAGTTAATGAGAAAAAAATGAAATCAACTATTATCAAGAATGATAAAATTAAATGAAATTATTATTTTTCGAAATACGATTATTCTTTATTTCATAAATATGTTTTCAATTCGCTGGTATTAATGGTATATTTTGTTCTTAATATATCAGTTCTTGTCCTTATCTTGACTGATTCCCTCTTCGATTTCGAAATCATTCATCACAAGATCCAACAAAGCAGGATATGCATCGATATGGGTGGTGGATATAGACAATCGTTATTACAAATAACATTCGAGCAAAAGTGGATAATCATGCGAGATTTTATTCTTTCCGCAAACTCATAAACTGTTCCTTAATCGGAAGAGAGGGGTAAGAATGGCTCAGTGAGTTGTTGCTCGGTTGGGAGCGCCGGTGCTAAGATTCGATTTCCCGCAGGAGTTAACTTGTCCAAAAATCAGGGTGATACTGGCAGTTCAACTATGTTTCTATCGTCAAGGGACTTCCTGGCGTATTGCCCAATGCGACAAACCAGTGGAGCGAGCTTAACAAGTAATGGTAAGGATTTAAGGATAAACAAAAACAGAAGAGAGTGGAGGATTCTTAATATCCTCCACTCTTATTGACCATGTTTCGATGCAATAACAATGTGTCATGCACTGCCACTAGATAAGTGCAAATGCAAACGTTCATTTTGATGGTGATTTCTTAGAGATTCTATAGAGGTCTTATCAGACGAATACATAAATACATTTCTAGTTGCGGTTATCTGGGTAGCAGTTCCGTTTTTTGCTATGCCATTTATTATATGATTCAAATTATGTAAAATATTTCTTCAAGTAGTGATGAATTAATGAAAATATTTATTATTTTTTCAGCGTATGTATATAAGATTTTCATAAAAAAAAATTTTCATCGTATTTATTGTTGGTGCTGAAGTGGTTTTTATTGCTTTCGTATATCGAAGCACATCCAGCGTCTCTTGCATTTCTTCGCTGTCAACAAAATTATATTTTCAGCTTATCTAAGATCTTTGGCTATGAACTGGGAACGTCTTACCCTTGTATCCAGTGGAGACAGCCTAACCAGTAATGAAGAGAGCTGTTAGAAGAAGATATGAGCTGACTTGCTTATCTCTTGACTGCTGGCGGAATAATGCTATAACATAGGTGAATATTGCGGGGGAAAGAATGCAAGTCCTGGCGTACACGGTTCTTTGTTTCGAAAGGTACTGCCTTCGTACGTATAGGTTTGTACCGACATATACTGGTAAAATTCATGAGTCAAATAATTTCTAAATAACCGACATATTCTAGAGCGTCATTCTATCAATTGAATCGAAGCTTCATCATTAAAATGAGTGAAAATGCATTTTTTTATAAGATTTTATCGGTAGAACAGTTTCATTATGTAGAAGTATTTTGGTTATATAATATTTGGATTCCTCTGATATCATCTTCGCCTAATTGATAATTTTCTTTTAATTGATCCCTGAAAAATTTAAATAATTCTTGCGGATATTTTTTATAATTAAATGCATAAATTTCCTTGTTCGGTCGCTTGCGATTGAAGATTTTTAAATTAGAATTTTTTAAATCAGAAATCAGAATCAGAACGATTCGTTTAACCGATAATCCGCGTATGGTGTATCGATTCGCTTTAGTAAAACTTAATGGAATAAATAATCTAAAAACTTTTAAGTAATCTAAAAACTATATTTTGATTATATTTTCTTAATTTTAATTTTTTTGAATGGTATTTTTCGAAAATTGATTGATCCGTTAAGCTAAGTGCATGACCAATTTCATGTAAAGCCACCTAAAATTAAAATATTCTAAAATTTTTTTTGCCAATTCAAGGGTTGTTGAAACGATGAACTTTTTAAAAGGATTTTCATTTTTGTCTATCAGTCTTTGTGCTTTAAAATACTGGTTAAATGAATTAATGAATGAACATTTCGAATGAATAGTAACGAAATCAACGTTCGTGAAATCATTTAACCGATTTTAAGAAAACATGAAAATAAAAAAAAATATTATTAGAAAAGAAATTATGCGATAACCTGTAAAACGGGTTCATAACTGCTTTAGCATCACTTGAATGTTTTAAGCCAAGTGCATGGCCAATTTCATGTAAAGCCACCTAAAATTTTTTTTCTAAGATATATTTAACGAGTTTGTTGAGAAAATAAAATCTCGTATTATTGCATCAAATTTCGCTCAAATACTATTTATTTATACTAATAGTAGCAGCACAGAGCATCGCCTCGGCTGGTTAGGGCACCATCTTCGACATCCATCACCAGAATTGACCACATATTTCGTTATTTGCTAAGTCCTGTAATGGGTGGCGTCAAAAGCGAGGTGGACCAGTCAAAATCTGGACTACGGACAGGAAAGATTTTGAAAGTATAGCTGAACCAGCAATATATACGATGGAAAAAGGAATAGCCTGTCGACGATGGAGTCGGAGCGAGCAGCTTGGAAACGTTTTACCACCGAAGCCAGCCTAACCAATAATGATGAAAGCTGTTAGAAGGAGAAGGATATGATCTTAGGATGCTATAACTCGGTTTTTTAAATGGTTAAATAATATAAAAAATGAGTCGTCATTTGTCCTTTTTTTCTTAATATCACGCACCATTTTTGTTTGGACTGGTTTTATTGAATACTGAAAGTAATAGAGCGGAATGGAGAATATAGATGGCTTCTCCTGTACCCACTTGTATTTTATCTTCTTTGAAATATTTGCAGGGAAAAGTAATCAAAACCAAATTTTGCTGCAACTCCCGCAACCAGGTGCACATAATTCAACTATTTTTAATAATCTATGTAACACTTTTAAAAATTTATAAAATTATAATGGCAAGCATACATATCGCAAATCTAAACGGTCATCATTTTGGCCATTTGTCGACCATATTTCAGATCCATCAAAATGTATCATTCCACTTAATGGATATGTTGAATGCGCCACAATCCCACCAAGTCCATCAAATGATTCCTTATCACCGTGATCATATTTCGCAAAAAATATATCCAAATTGCCTATTTGGTCATTAAAACCATATAATGGTGATTTGTCTTGAAAGTTCAAAGTACCATTTGATGCTTCTGACCACAATTTTAATGCATTCTCGATTAATTTTCTGAAATATTGTTTTCAGATCGTTTCATAAGCTAATCGTATAAATGCACATGAAGGACATTATTTTCATTAATTTTAGCGGTTGGGACTATCTAAATATAATTTTTCGCTTAGGTTAGGATAACAAACCATAAAAAACTTTAAATTTTAAGTTTTTTAAATTTTTAAGTTCTTACTTGATACTGTAAAATTGTATTTGTTTTTTAATAAGGTGAAATGGATCTCGAAACGACCACGAAATTTTATCGGTTGGCCATTTTTTTTCATTTAAAACTTAAAACTTAAAAATCATTAATTATTCTTAAAAATCGAAAACAAAATAATAATAACATTTACGAAGTATTTAATAGTTGGATTTTTTTAAATATTTATATTTAATATTAAATATTTAATAATTTTTAAATATTATAATTGTATATTAAATATAATTTGTAAATTGTTAAATATAAATATAACAAATAAATATAACTTAAAGTTTTTATTATATAAAATAATAAATCTTAAAATGTTTTAAAATTTTAAAATGTTTTAAAATTTTAATTTTAAATGTTTTTTTTAAAAAAATGCTAAAAAAATTTATAAAACGGTTTTAAATGTTAAAAAAATAAAAATAACCATATCGTTTATAAACGTTATGCTCATCCATTTGTACATTGCAAATTCGTTGCTTTTGATAAGAATATTCGACTAAATCATTATCAATATTCAATTCACTGAAATTAATTGCCTTCTATTGTACAATTTCAAACAAATCTGTTACAATTAAAATATTCTATAAAATAATCGCTTAAATTTCTTCTATCGCATCAGATTGGTACATTTGGAAACTTCGCCTAAAAAATCCTAGAAACCTAACCCTAGCAGAATCAGCCAAATTAGAAAATACCTCATTCTCGAAGTTTTAGTAGGGTTCGCAAAACCTCAGGGAATTTATCTCATCTCCAGTAGAGTTTATAAGGTTAAGAAATCAAAGATCAAATTTTTGCATAAATTTTTTAAGCAAAATTTTTCAAAAATTGTCCATTCTTATTTTTATTTTATAATTATAAATTTTTTTACGAATAACAATTGAAAAAATTTTAATCTATCGAATTATATCGAATAAAAAAAAAAAATTAATAAAATAATTATATTAGGAATTAAATTCAAAATTCAAACCTTTTTGAAAATGGTTTTGTATGCGAAAAAGATAGAAAATAAATAAATAAAAATATTGCAAAATACATATTAAATATTAATTTAATCAAACATTTAACACGAATGGATAAATTTTTATCAGTTCGTCTATCGATTTATCTATGGATGACCCTTTGTTGACCTATTTGACTTAATTTAAATGGTGATAAAGAAAAAGAACAATTGTTATCAATTGCCAATTAAGATTCATTTCATACCAATATATGTTTATTACCTTTTTTAAAGAATTTTTCTCATAATACTACTCATAGTTCACTTTTATCTTTTAAATCGCTTCCATGTAGAACTCGACTCACATCTACCACTTGAATCCGAAGAGAATATTTACTGTAATGCCAAGGCAAAAGCCTAATTCTTCCTATTAAAGGCATTTCGTCTAAGCCAATGCATTTGCAATGGCAATAAAATCAACCCAAAAGTTCTTTAATAATAGTCGTTTTGCATGGAATAGTCGTCTTGGATGATAAAAAAGAAGGAAATTCGAATGTAGTTGTACCGCATATTGCTTGTGGCTGATGAGGAAAGTGTAGACATTGCTTCGATTACGCTTTTACGATAAGAGTAGAAGCCTTTCACTAAGAAAAAGACCTGAAAAGCGGCTAGAAATCGACCTATGCCTCCTTTCCCCTATAAGCGAAAATGCACTGCCAAGTTTTGCTTCGTAATTTCAGGCCATCTCAGCAAATTTTTATTGATTTACGTTAGTACAATTAAAATTTTCTTTGAATTCAGAAATCAAGGAACATTTCATTATATAAACCAAAAAAAAAAATCTACCAAAATATGGACGGAAATTAAATATAAAAGTTCAAAGAGCAAACTGTTTCGTGGTGGTTAAAATAAATAAGTTGATCTGATGAACTGTTTCGTGGTGGTTGAAATATGCAAGTTGATCTGATGAACTGTTTCATGGTGGTTGAAATATGCAAGTTGATCTGATGAACTGTTTCGTGGTTAAAATAAATAAGTTGATCTGATGAACTGTTTCGTGGTGGTTGAAATATGCAAGTTGATCTGATGAACTGTTTCGTGGTTAAAATAAATAAGTTGATCTGATGAACTGTTTCGTGGTGGTTGAAATATGCAAGTTGATCTGATGAACTGTTTCGTGGTGGTTGAAATATGCAAGTTGATTTGATAATCCAGGCGTGATAGAAATACAAATTTTTCAGCTCAATCAAATTTTTTTCGATGAACGAAAAAACTCAATTAGAGCGGTCTGTAAAGAAACATGCATTTAGCATGGGCATGTGAATTTTTTTTTCGTTAAGTCCTCATCATTACTGGCTAAACTCGCTCCGCTGGCTTCTCGCATTAGACAAATATGTCAAAGAATCCCGTTGGTGACAGAAGTACAGGTGAGTCGCCAGCATCACCCGGATTTTTGGACAGGTTTATTCCTGCGGGAATAGAAACTCAGAAACGACGCTCCGAACTGAGCGACAAGCCACTGAGCCATTCTATGCCCCAATGTGATTAAGTAATATAATCGAACAATTAGCCATTAATGCGGTGACTGCACTAATATATATCATAATTTGCCCGCACAATACACTTTCCTCACCTATTATTGTAAACTTTGCAGGCATCATAGCCGACCACTTTCACTCGATTATATGTCAGCGAGCAAATGACAGAGTCCCTTATAATATAGTGCTGCTACGTTTTAAATTGGTGAGCGAGTATACATTTATACAGCGAATATACGAGCCGAAAATTAAAATCTTATTGTGCACTAAAATCTTCGACATGAAATTTGAAGTCAAAAGGTTTGCGAGAAATTCTCAACATTTATTACAGTGAATATTTTATGATACATTCTGATTTTGTGCTGTTAGATATTTAAATCATCCCAAAGGGAATGCGAGTTACTTTCACTGTACTTTAAAAAGCGGGAAAATATTCTCGCGTCGTCCAGGTTAAAAAGTCGTTGGGATCTACGTGGCAGTCAATCTAGGGGACGTGAAGCTTAGTTTGGTGATTGGCGATTACCAATAAAGATTAGCACTTCAGAGCGACGGTGCTTTAGCTTTTCCCATCAAGGTTTGCTAGAGGTGATGCAATTGCAATAATTTGATTTCAGGTCAAACCTAATTAAGGAGTGGAACTTCGTGGCGATGTGGTCTTTTCTTCATTTTTCTTCAAAAATTCTATTTTAATAGTATTTAAAATTTAAAATATTTGATATTTCAAATTAATAATGATAAGGATTAAAAATTAAATTTAACATGTAATATGTAAAATAAAATTTAAAATTTTTTTCTCTTTGCAACTGTTTTTTCTTAAAATATTATGGAAAAATTTTTTAATGAGCGAAAAAGTCGTTTTCAAGGAAGTATTTTTGCGCTATTCACCGCTTTCCTATTTTTATTTATTTTATTTATGTTAGATTTTTGTTTTTTTTCTTTAGATTTAAAATTTTTTTAGAATAGTAATAATTTAATGGAAATAAATCGTAATTTATTTGATTGGCAAAATTGTCGACAAACAACGAAAATTCGCAATCCATCGTTATGCAGTGCCCCATGCGACGTACGTTTTCAATAGAGTTTTAAATCAAATGGTAATATCGCAGCTTTTTTTATGGAAGGCTTCATCAGATCGGAAAGCTCATAGCCATTCAGACAGTCAAGCCAAAGATAAAGGAAGATTTATTGGGAAAATAAAAATTTTTGCTTTCACTAATAAATTTAACTGTTAAATAAATAGGTTTTATTTATTCGCACTAAAGGGTTTAGAAAAAGGGTAAATTTTCCAGAATAATCGCTATTTTTAGCTGCAAGTTTCTTTGTAAGTTTGCAAACTTTTTAGAATGGTTTTCAGTTATTCGAGCGATTAAGATTTGGTATTTATTCTATTTACTGATACTGTTTTGAAATATTTAAAAGAAAATATATAAAATATTTGATACTTTAAGCCGATGTTTTTTGAATATCTAAGTACCTCTATGTTGAAGAGAAAATAATCTTTTTTTATGAAATCATCGAATTCTTTTAAAGATCGCTGGTTCACAGACATCTATTTGTCAAAAATTGTCAGTTAGTCATAATCCAGCTAATCGAGATGAATTAAATGAAGTAAGTTATTCATAAATTGTTAGTTTATAAATTTCATTAAGTAATTTTGATTTTGAGAACTGTTAAAGCATCCGACTTTGTGATTTCTTAATTTTATATAAGCGAAAATTTGAATGAAGTTTGAAAAATGAAGTTTTTATAATTAATTTAAAGCTGGTATAAAATCGTAGCAATTACTGTAAATGCGCAAAATTTTTTTTTTCATGAAAACGTTTTTCCATTATATGTTGTTAGAGCATCCGAGTTTATGGTTTATTGTGTTCATCTCTGAAATGAAATGAATCCTTTTTTTATCCTAGTTTTAAAAGAAATCGATTTATGATATTCAGGTAGAAATGCGCTCAGGATAGTTTGCTTCTATTACTGAAATGGGCATCTGAATCTTAGAATACTTCATCTTTTAAAAAAATTTTTTTCACAGCTTGATAGACGTACGATGCTTGATAGCAGTCGTAGATCAAGAAGTGATATAAGACGCAGAGTGGACCTGATAGAAAATCCTCCGGCAGGAAGAACATTTAGAAATTCATGTTGCTGTTCTCTTTCTGTAAGTTGATCCAATATTTATGATTGATTGATCATGCACACAGTATTTTTTTTAAAGAATCATTACCATTACCGATTAAACTCGCTCCACTGGCTTGTAGCTTTGGGCAAGGAGTCGCCAGCATCACCTGGATTTTTGTACAAGCTAACTCCTGCGGGAAACTGAACCTCATCATCGGCGCTCCAAATTGAGCAACAATCCTCTGAGCTATTCTATCTCCTGCACATAGGTAGTACGTTCATATTTATTGTAGTATTTCATCCAATATTAATTTTAAGGCTAAAAGCAGTTGCGGCAGTTTGAACAAAGATTTTGTTGAAGTTGATCGGCACTTATCGGCAAATTATGTCCGACAGAGACAGAGATGTTGTTCGGAGGCTTCTGATTATAAATTGGTGAAAAATTATGGTTTTATCAATTTAAATTCTTATTTTTTTTCGTAATTGATAAAAAAACTAGTCAAGTAAAATAATGATTTACACGTAGAAATTTAAAAAAGGCCAAAGTAAATATTCTTGATATTATAGTGCGATTATATTTAACCATCTTTAGAGCCGGAGAGCTAATAATATAATAGAGAATGTAAGAAAAAAACTTTTAGAAATATTAATATACAACGGAAGAAAAAAATTTTTTCCTCGCTCTCTTTGGGTTGTCATGATCATCCTCAACTCGGATCCTCTACTAGAGGCCTGAGAGATTAAGGGTTCTAAGCAGTATCTTAATTATTTCTAGTGTAGATAGAGATCTAGAGATTCTTCTAGATAGAGATCTCTGATGTTATTCCTGGAATCTGCTGAAGCCATTCTTCTAGTCTAGAGGTCACAGTTCCAAGTGATCCAATTGTCGCTGGAATTACTTTTATTTTTATTCTTATATTTTCCACATCTTCTCTATAAAATAATTAACATTGACTGTGTGGTTTTTGGTATACAGGTAAATCCTTTCTTATTCCTTTTTCCTGACGTTCCTGTCCTCGGTATTGCTGTATCTATCATCAGTGTTGATTTCTGGTTCTTGTCTATCGCCACGATATGCAATTGGTTGGCCAGTATTTCTAGATGGAGAAG